GCGCTCCAGGGCTCTGTGTTGTTGCTCCTAACTGTAGCTCAGTGCTGTTCCAGGTGGACAGTTTGACTCTGGAGCCCAGCTGTTGCCATTAGAGTCCTTCTGTAGCTGGAGTAGGGACTAAGTGGAAACATCAAGATGAACACACAAAAAATAAAATAAAATAAAAATCCAGCTTGCCAAGGAAAACTGGGAGTCTGTCCTTTTCTGAGCTTTATCTATAAAACAAAGCACACATATGCACGTGTGTGCAGGGAGTGGGGTGGGGGTGGGGAGGAGCCCCTCAAACTCAAGGAGAAGGGGTAAAGACTCTGAAAGTCCTATAAAGGGCTGTACACCAGATGGTGCGATGTTTTTTGAGCTCTTTCCTCAGCTCACTAGGCCACTTCCATTCTTGGGTTTTTAGATAAGATCCCATCTCCTGTGGTTGCCAAAAATACACTGTTATCTCTCAATGACTTAAAAAAAAAAGTTCATGTTTTTACTCATTTATCATTCAAGAAAAAAATACTTATGAAAGTGCAGTTATCGTGTTCTGCTGTCTTTCTTATACCTTTTGAGATAAAGGCAGATTTGCTAAAGCCATGTTCTTGATGGCTGGCTGATTCGAGGCCATCTCAGGTCCTAGTACACATTTCACACATGAAGAAGCACTATGTGCCTCAGCCACTCATCTTTCCACTGTTCTCTCTGCAAGCATTTCTTCAGACCTTGTTAGGGGTGTGCTGGGCAAACTAGGTGGAGAGGAAAGAATGTATTGGCTCTCCTGAAGGAGACAGAGCTACAGGGAGGGAGATGCAAAGATGTAAGTGTTAGATGGAGTGCCAGGCATTTTCCTCATGGTGTGGCCTTTTGTCCTACTGCACTGGTCAGTTTTAATCAGGACACAACACGAAACAAGCAAGCTCTTCAGTTGCTTGAAGTTCTAGTTCATGGTTAACTTGGCTTTGCCCCTGATTGTAGCTCAGGAACTTGGGTTCTGAAAATCCAGTTCTTCCCCTGGGAGATGGGCGGGCACATTGCCTCCCTCCTGTGCCTGATGGTCAGGGCTAATGCTCACTGAGTGAGTGTTTTGTCAACACTCACATAGGTAGACCCCTCCCTGTCCCTGACCTGTACCAAGATCTCCTTCCCTCTGTGTTTTTAATGCTATATAGTTTTTCTTTTTCTATAAATCTGCCTTTATGCAAAGCAACAACTTATTATCAGCCAGGATGCAGGCACGGTTTTCTAAGTTCAACACACAAATGGGCTACCAAAGGGCACGAGGCAGGTACTCCAGCATGCTGGTGAGAGGAAAGAAACACCCATCAGATGCACATTCTCTGAAGTAACCACCACCATGACAATCCTGGACGAAACAGTCCCTGGGATGGGGAGGAGGCCATGCTGGCACACCAAGAGCCATCCTGCGGAAACACAGGAATCAGGGCAGGCTAAGGCGGAAAGGGAGAGCAGGCTGCGCAGGGCGACTGCTCATCTGTTACTAGTGAGTTTGTCAGGGATTAGTTTTATGTTGTGTTTGTGCGTTCATGTGTAGGCAAGAGCACATGTGCAGATGTGGGTGGCCAGGCCAGAGGTCAGCTTCCAGGGCTGTTCCTTAGACCTGGACACTTGGGTTTTGACTGTCTCTTACCTGGGGCTCAGTTAGGCGAGGCTGGTTGACCAGCAAGTCCCTGAGAGGCTCTATCTTTTCCTCCCAAACTGACATTATAAGCACCTGTGGGTATTTTGCCTGGGCTCTGAGGGCCAAGCTCATTTCCCCATGCCTGTATAACCACCCTAGCTCTCCTGGGTTGTTTGTGAAGGGACCCAAGTCTGTTTTAGAATGTCCCTGCCTCCAACATAAGGGCCAGAGCCATCTTGACCAGAGCTGCTGTGACTACCCATAAGCGAGCTTCAAGCCTGGGCCCATTGCCATTCCTTCACAGAAGTAGGAGGTCAGGAGGGTCATCAGAGGCTCACCTTAGATTCTATCCACTCCTTCCTATACCTTCCTCCCAGATGTATGCAGTTCTGGCTAAGCTGCAAGTAATCTCATGGTCGTGCTGGAGTGTATGGACGGAAGAGCCTACTGCATAGTCTGCAGCTGTGGGCAAGTCGGCATCCGAGTGGGCATGAGACTGCAGGTAACTCCCGCTCCTGTAACTTACCTGGCGCCACGCTCTGTAAGCCGGCATGGTGACTTACTTGTTCACCGGGTGGGGCTTTGATGGACTCATAACTTCGCTTTGTCACTCACTGGTGCCATGACCTGCGGTGAGCAGACACGGTGCATCTGCCCAGGGAAATGTACTCTCAGGGCTGTTCAGAGACAACCCACGTGGGAAAGGCAGAACGGATTTGTAGGTGACACTTTCTGCCGTGCTGCCGAATAATCTGGTGTGTGGGGTGGGTTTAGCTACCGGGAACAGCAACAAGAGGCAGGATTCATCTGCAGACTTTTGATTTATTTGATCTACCAGACATTTCTTTTTATTTATATAAAAGACAAACATGGCATAGAATGAAAATAAGTGCTTTAGGTTTTGATATAAAAGAATATTGTGCATTCACATTCCTATTTTAATACATGAGTATGGCTGAAGTGTTCAATAAGAGTAAAACCTTCCCTTTAGGCAGAGTAGCGAATGGAGGTCAACATTTTTAGGAATGACAGCAATGTTATTCCTTGGTCTTTTTCTTGAATAAGAAAAAAAAAAAAGTGACATAAACAAACAAGCCACGGTAACATGACACCATAATCCAGTTTCTGATGATGACCCGGAAGTGAAATCACCTTTGAACCCTAGAAAATCCCACCAGTGGGCCAGTATTCTATAAATTCACCACTAGAGGGCAGTGTACAACAACTACTGGGATGGGACTGGCAAGCCCTAAGGTGCAAGTGGATTTGGGGTCTCCACCAAGTGTGTTCACAGCACACTTCCATGGGAAACAGCGCCTATACTTTTTGTCTTGTCCCCAACTTGACCATGTATCCTAAAATCCTCTGTGAGCTGAGGCCTTCCATGGTCCAGACAGAGCAAAAGATAGTCCTTGATGGTCCTTCAATCATGTTCCTATTTGGTTGAAAATAAGTAGCTTCAAACCACATTTAAAAAAAAAAAATAGAGACTGTTGCTTGCAACATCCACATCTGTTGGTGGATTTACAAGCTTCCTATTAAAGCTTGCTCTTTGCTCTCATCCAAGCAGGCATAGATTCCTGACTCTACACGGGACCCTCACGTGTCCCCTATTCAAATACCCGCTCTTAATTCCTGCAAAGGTTAGGGCAACAAAGACACCAGTAGCCCTATGAAAAAGACTCCTAGAGCAGAGAGGTTTTCTTGCACAGGCAGATGGGACTTATTATGTATACAAAAGAGTATTAACCTAATGAGAGTCATGCACAGGAGGTCCCTTGAGGTCCAGCTCACGGTCAGCTTCAAATCGTAACACGAGAGAGGTCTGTGCAGTCCAATCTGTCACCACAGCGAGGTGGCATGAACGCCCATTTCTATCGTGTGTGTGTGTGTGTGTGTGTGTGTGTGTGTGTGTGAGGGTGCACGTGGGTGCGTGTGTGACGGAGGCCAGAGGTCAATGTCAGACGCTGGTCCTCAGGAAGCTGCTCACCTTGCTTTGGGGGAAGTCTTCCTAGCTTGCAGGGATGAGATTACAAGTGTGTTCCACTGAACATGGCGCTTTTTTTGTGGGTTCTGGGGGATTGAACTCGAGTCTCCTTTCTTGGGTGGCAAGCATTTCTACTTGCTGCGCTAACTCTTTGGGCTCACCAGGGCACATTTCTTACAGTGGATTCTTGTCTAGAAACAACTTTCATTTCCAGACTGGGGTGGGTGCGGGTAATGGGAAGACCGTGCTCAGCTCGAGAAGCTGGGGAAGAGAGTCCACACCGCCCTGCTGTAATTGACGCCACCTGGGGGAAGAGCTGGGCCCCCACCTCCTGTCCTTACCGGGAGAAGCTTAACTAACTCTCAGACCTTATGCTGACCAAGCAAACCAAGGGTTCAAAGTGTTGGCGGACAGTTGTACAGTGTGTGTCATGCAAATCTCCTGCTCCTTGGGGGCCTGGGAAGATGGAACTCACTGGTGTTGCCATGGCAAGCTGGAAGCTCCAGCAGGAGGGTGACCAAAATTAAATACGATGAGCCACAGGGGTTGGGTTTTGGGTGTGCCACATTTAAAAAGGGACAATGGCTGAGAGCAAATAATAGTAACTCGGGAATGGGAAGAAATCAAAGAACACAGTATTATTCGTAGACAGTGGGGCAATTTCATGGGTGGAAACTGTCCTCTTTGATTTTGGTGGTCTGTAAAAGTGGAGAGATGGGACCAAGTTTCTAGGCTAAGTCAAAAGGTTCACAAATCAGATGTGGGGCTTGAATGACAAAGCTAAAATCAAGACAAGCAAAGGCACATGGGACACCCTGGGACAGAGTGGTGGGTTGGAACTTAGCTCCTTGGCCAGAAAAGCAGCCTAGTGTGGAGGGAAATTATTGCGAAACAAAGTGTTTTGTGGCCAAAGCAGGCTGCAAGGCATGGATCCTTCTCACAGGATTGTCTCCTTCACCCTGCAGTCAGGAGACCATCGTGTGTATGTGTGTGTGTGTGTGTGTGTGTGTGTGATTGTCAAGTGCTAACATTGTCCCAAGTCCCTTCTGCTCCATTCTGGAGCTCCTCAATAAAAACTAATTTTCTGAGAGCATTTGATCTTTTTCTTTGTCTCCTTGCAGAGTATGGCTATATGTGGAGAGATATAGACATATAGACATATAGATATATAAAACATAGCTATTCGTATTTACATACAGGCGTTAATAAAGTGCAAACGTTATTGGCTATTGTAAAAATCAATCTCATTTCCTGAGGAAGTGCTAGCACAGCTTAGGCCATGACAACGTCCAAGGCATAGAATGTTCTCTGTCACTCATCCCCTGCTGCTGCTGCTGCTGCTGCTGCTGCTGCTGCTGCTGCTGCTGCTGCTG